TTTCTCTTCTTGAGTGCAATAGCACACAATTGATCTTTCTTCACCATATTTAAACAAACTTTTTGGTCCATATTGAGGGTACCATACCACCTTAAGCGGCCAACCCCTATTAAGCGGCCACCTCGCATTTCCCCAACGGTAGCCCACTGTATTATATGTAAACTGAAAGTACCGTAAATCCTCGAATTAGCGCTCCCCCCTCCGCGAATAAGCGCCCCCTTCGAATAAGCGCCCCTCCTATCGGCCGAAATTTAAAATAAGCGCCCTCTCAAATAAGCGCCCCCTCCCCTTCCCCCATTTTGTGGGCGAGTAATGAGACAACAAAGGGTATATAGTTTTCGTCATGTAGTATTAGATTTGTACATTGTTTCAGTTTGTGAACACGTTTAGTGGACACGTTGAACACGTTAAATACTAACGGTGCCGCGATTTAAACTTTGGGATCAGGTTTTTATGTCAATAAACAGCTTATGTTTGTGTTTACGCGCAGATGATACATTAAAAAAAATGATCATGTCAGGCTACGATTTGGGAAAAATTAAATGAGCGTCCTCCTCGAATAAGCGCTCCCCGGGCGCTAATTCGAATATTTACGGTAGCTATCAAACACTTAAACGTGGGAGTTCCGCCCCGAACTCTTACTTTTTCTGTCCCAGACTCAAAATAAAAGGGTAACGATTGATATACTGTCTATAGAAGATGGCATCCCTTTCACAGACCTGGAAAATTTACCAGTAGCCCCTTAAAATTCTTGGTTGAATCAGCCATTTAGGTATCTCTGTTCTAGATATAATCACCTGACAATTTTCTTTCTGAACTTCAGTTTGGAAAATCGAGCCTAGGGAAATCCATACCCTTTGAAATACCTCCAGCCGAAAGAACGCATCCCTTTCAGGCATATCCTCCCTCTGTAGTCTGTTTAGAGTACCCCCTTCCCTGAGGCATGCGTGAATCTCTGTGAGCATACGTTCCATGACAAACAAAAGATTGCGGGACAAGCCACACTAACGGGTTTTGGGTTCGTCACGAAATCTTCCTTCCCCCTCCAAAGTGAGTGGAGGGGAGATTGCGTGACGAGCCCACAGTGCGTTTGCGTAGGAGACTAGCGGAACACGGACCAAAGTTGTTTTGCTCAGAAATTGAAGTCGCACGATCGAAATGTCGGCTAACAAAACAGCCGTGGTGTTGGACAATGGATCAGATACCATTAAGGCGGGATTTGCCAAGGAAGAAACTCCCCATACAGTTTTAACTTCTGTTGTTGGCTATCCAGAATCCGCTAAATTTCAAGAAGTAGCCGATCGAGATGACCCGTTCATCGGAAAGGATGCTCTGCACTCGAGTTGTAATCTGGATCTTACATTTCCCATCAAGAACTCGATCATAACCAACTGGGATGATATGGAGATGGTTAGTTGAACTAAGATTTGATCAGGCAGAGCTGTGGCAGTGCTTGTAACTGATTGTGAATATTTCATCGTAGCTTTGGCGTTACACGTTTGGTAAACTAGGTGTTCATCCCGAGGAACACCCAGTTCTGCTGACTGAAGCTCCATTCAACCCGAAAGTCAACAGAGAAAAGACGACCCAGGTAAAATTCATGATTCGTGCAGGTTTATTTGTGATTTGGTCCATTCAGTAATTGCAACATGGCGTTGGCTACAATAAAAACCCGTGCGAGAAGAAGCTACATTTTCTGAAGTCTGGCAAAATAGGCTCTAGACTAGTTGTTAATGTCGGGTGCGGGTTATTCCAGTATTTTTGTTCATTTTCTTCAACTCGTTTATTTATCGAGTGGTACTGATAACGTCGCCAGGTTTTTATAGAGTCATTGTATAATTTCCTTTGAAAGGCTTTTCGTATACAGACGAAAAAAAGTAATTTGCTGTTCAGCATCACGTGACGAAAAGTAAGATTGCGTGACTGCCAGAGACGTGCGTGGAAGCATAACCCGTTAAAACAACTAATTATTTATAGCAAGAGCGTTCATAATCTCTTGTCATTAGCTATCATTCTCGGAAATACTGTGTTCGTATGGGAATCGTACAAACTTGAGTTATTAAGAGCACAACCTTTAAGTTGTCTGTTCAGTGACCTGGCCTTTGAATGGCGGATGAGGCTGCAGGTGGCCTTGTTTTGACCATAAAGGACCATAAAGACCTCACTGCTTCGGAATGCCGGGAATAAGGACGGCTGTTTTAGGTTTTCAGTCAGATGCCCTCGGGCACGATGTTTCGGTTTAAATTGGCAATTTCAGTACGGTGTCTTAAATTTGTGTTGTAACATGTATTTTCGTAGATCAAAGAAAAGCGACGACCATATTTACTTCGTTTAAAAATTACGATATTTTGTGGGATATCGTTTTTCAGCTTGGTTGCGTGACATCTTGTTCTAATGATAGCTAACATTGAGCTTACATTGCAAGGTCGTCCTCACATAGATTTCTATTTATTTTTCTTTGGGTAGATCATGTTCGAGACCTTCCATTCGCCAGCAATGTATTTAGCCCTAGCCCCCGTGTTGTCTCTGTACAGCTCGGGCCGTACAGATGGCATCGTCCTGGAGAGTGGTTATGGTATTAGTCACGCAGTTCCTGTCCACAACGGTTTTGCCATTCGCCCAAATGTTCTTAGTCTTTACTTGGCCGGCAGCAGCTTGACAGACTACCTCATGAAGATTCTGACCGAGCGTGGCTACTCCTTCACTACCACAGCCGAGCGTGAGATCGTGCGTGACATCAAAGAAAAACTTTGCTATGTTGCTCTCGATTTCGAGCAAGAAATGCAGACTGCTGCCTCCGGCTCCAGCTTGGAGAAGAGTTACGAGCTACCCGACGGACAGGTCATCACCATTAGCAACGAGCGTTTCAGATGTCCTGAAGCGCTGTTCCAGCCTTCCATGACTGAAACCGGTTCCTCCGGTTCAACCGGTATCCATAAGCTCACTTACGATTCCATCATGAAGTGCGACGTGGAAATCCGAAAAGACCTGTTCGCCAACATTGTCTTAGCTGGTGGTTCCACCATGTTTCCAGGAATCGCTGAGAGAATGCAGAAAGCTCTAGCTCACCCCACAATGAAGATCAAGATCATTGCTCCTCCTGAGCGTAAATACTCCGTCTGGATTGGTGGATCGATCTTGGCCTCGATGTCCGATTTTCAGTCCATGTGGATTACTAAACAAGAATATGACGAATCTGGTCCTGCACTTGTCGAGCACAAATGTGCTTAGTTAGAATTATATTTTTCCATACTCTGTTCACGAACAAAAATATTATTTAGTTTAAAAATATCATAATTTGTGTTGAGTGCAGGGATTGCAACCAATCCCGGCAGAGTGAACTCACTAAGACGTGGCGGCCAAGCTGATTAGAACTTGCTGATTAGAACCGTTACCATCCTCACAAAAATTACGAAAATTTCGGTCAGAATGCAAATGTAAAGTCAATTTTCACTCGACAGACCGGAAAATTTTCGAAATAAACGGAACGTCTAGAAATGCAGTCCAAATATCTGAATGGAACCACTTGCAATTCTTCACCGCCATCTCAGAATTATGAGGCGCTCTCTGTAAATTGGGAGTTGTGGAGTAAAGTAGCCAGCAAGGCTACAACCAGGAGATTATCAAGGGAAGAGACTGAATCCCCCATTGAGGCCTTATACTAAACGTAATCCCTCCCAAGTTATTTTTAGACATGGTACCCAGTTCTTCCGCGAATGTTACTCGCACGACGCGTGGACAGCCCAAGCAACTCTCTCGAAACTACCAGAGACGACACGGCGGGAAATATGGCGAAAAGTCATTTATATGTTTTGATTTTTAAAAGACGTTTCATAACAGAGATGTTTTCTACTCTCTTGGCCTTTTTTTTGTTCTGGTGGACTTTCGTTTGCTTCGTGCTCTCTTGGCAGAGCTTATTACTGTTCAAACTATGTTAAGTGACTTTTTCTGAGGGGTTTCTTGTCGGATTAAATTTTGCGTCGAAAATCGAAACAGTCGTGACATAATGCCGGATATCAAGCACAAAACAATTTCTCTGAACTTACTGGATGTCTGACATTAAACACAAAACGTCTCTTACAATTGGGGCCTCAGACTTGTATTCGAAATAGCTTGTTATCGGAAGAGCCGAGTTGGGTCTGAGACGTTTTTCGTCGAGAAATTTTCAGGAGCAGGTATCATCGTGATTTTACGATAGCCTTTCCTCCAAGTAATTTCGGACATGTATACACGTGTAATGCAACTGTCAGTTACCCCACGACAGTCACCTCATTTTCGGTGGAATATCAAGACAACAGGCACGGGAGGGACTTTCATATGAAAGGGACGACGTTACTCGTCGTACCTTTCAGGGGCGGGGGGGGGGGGTTAAAAAGCGGTTTTGGTGCCTCTTAAGAGTGTTCGGGCTCAAAAGATCCACAGTGAGAGCTTTTGCGGTAGCTTGTAGGGTATAATGAACAACTCCTGTTAAACAGGATAGAGATTTATGACAATTCTTTCATAAACTTCACGAGTAGAAGGCATCTGAAGCAATCGATCGTCTTTATCGCTTTTGAAAGTTATGAAAGCCACCCCACAGAACAGGATCTTGGTACCTCCTAGTAGCCTGCAAACGCAGACGTATTTCCGGCTCTCGCTTGTGTCCGCCGAAAAATAACGTCTGCGAACCCGAGCCAGGAAACGATTTCTGTGACGTAATGACTTTTGTTTCTNTTGTGGAAACAATTGTGAAAAATATAACTACACGTTTTAAGAGGATTACGACATTTTTTAATATATAAGACATGTTTCGATGTTACTAACATAACTACATGTAAAGACAACCAACCAGAATTACAGCTTGCCTGATAGCCTGCAAACGCAGACGTATTTCTGGCTGTCGCTTTTCTCCGCCGAAAAATAATGTCTGCGAACCGGAGCCAGGAAACAATTTCTGTGATGTAATGACTTTTGTTTCTCTTTGGCCAATCAGATTCCATGATACAATGAAACTCGAGTGCTCCTCGCAGCGAATACCTCGCGCAGTAGTTCTAGGGTTACTTGAGCTAGACCGTGATTGGCTTAAAATTCCTATGTCACAGAAATCATTTCCTGGCTCGGGTTCGGAGACGTTATTTTTTGGCAGAGACAAGCGACAGCCGGAAATACGTCTGCATTCACAGGCTACTTGCCTGAGGACCGGCTCTCTTGATATCAGACCTTTCTTTCTGTTCATTGTTTTGAGATTACATATGTGCGAAAGTATTGTCAGTTAAGGCTGTTAAGTGCTTAAATAAATAAATTGCTCAGCTATCAGCAATGTAAGAAATTGGTCCATAGCCCTGAGTTGGTGTGATATCAAAGTTTTCTAGACCTGCAGGCATGAGACAATCAGGCCTTAAGTGTGAGTGTTGGCAGGTATATTCTGTGACCATTTGTTTTTTTAATGTGGATCAGAAATCAAATTTTTTTCATTGAAATTCTGTTTCTTGCAATGTGATTTTGTTTTGCCCAATGGTAAATTAATGTAAATTCTTAAGATGATTGCCTTTTCTGTTTTTGCCAGATTTATTCATTATAGAATAAGTAATTTTTTACTGATCACTCAGCATTTGCTGGAAGCCATATTTGAGGAATATCATTATTATCATAATGATAATAATTCAATATTGTTGATCTTCCTCAAATAAGGCTTGAATCAGATGAATCAGTACTTCTACAAATGGACAACACGAGGGCAAGAAAAACATCAGGCGAGTCAACAGCCAGTGACACGTCAGAGACTGCATCATGCAGACCTTATTATCTACCAGAAACACCAGCTGCTTTTCCTCCATCACAAGTAGTTAGATCAGCTACTCCATCCACTTGGTATGTACCTCGCAGTTCTTCAGCATCAAGAGTTGGTGGTGATTCACAGTCACCTGCAGACTTAATGGACTCCCACAAGAATAACAAGGTATCAATTATTATTTAGACACATTGTTTACCCTGCGTTTTTATTTGTATACTGTAATTTAATTTCCTGCAGAGGAGCAGTGAAAAGACACAGGGGTGGTGGGGGGGAGGGGGGGGGGCTCCCATATAAAATTGATGGTGGGTGATGGTGGGAAATTTTGAAAAGAACCCCTAAGAGGTACCAAGGTCCTTTTTTGTGCACGCAGCTTGAAATTTGTTCACACCTAAGAGGTACCAATTCTAAAACAACAGAATAACTGGCACTTTCACAATTTATAATGGTATTAAAGATGATTACTTTGAATACCTTCTAGTCGTAAAGTTGATTGTCAAATATATTCTGTCTATTGTTTTTGTTTTTTGGGCTCAATACCCTGAAAGGTTCTGTGAAAGCTCCCATTGCAGATTTTTTTTTTGGCTGAAAATCCTTAGAGGTACTAGAACTGCTTTTTTAACCCCTAAAAGGTATGACAAGCAACCTGGCCTTTTTACATGCCCCCCCCTCCCTGAAAAGAATCCTACATTTTGATTGGTCCAGAAGATCTGGCTGTTTGATGTTTGATTTAAATCCATGAAGTATTCAAGCATTTGTTTTTACTCTGAATGCAGTTTCAGTTGTTACAGTCAAACTTGGAAAACTGTGAATACCTAAAACATGTCTGGAATGTTTAAATGTGTTATAACCAATCACAAGCAAGATCTTTAACCACAGAAACCACAAAATGGATGTATACCATCGGTCACAGAGCAAATTTGTTTCATTTCAAAAGTTCACCAAATAAATCCTCTATTTCGGTTATAAAAAGAAACTAGATAATTGCTGTTACAGGCAGCCTATTTAAACACTTGCAAAGAGGATTTGGGATGTTTTTAAATGTTGGAAAGCTATTTTCACAAACCCCAATGCAATGTGCCGGGCCGATGCGACTGGCAGTGATTGAACCACTCAAGTGCCAACAATCCAAATTGGTGCTTTAGCTATTTCATTTTCATTATTTTGATAACGATGAAAAGCCACAAGTGATATTGATGAATTGGAAGTCTTCCATTATATTTTTGTAATATGTGAATCAACTGCAAATTTATTTGGGAAAGAACAGCAGAAAATTGAGGTGTTAACTGTTAGCCTTAACTAATTCCAAAATTAGCAAGCATTTACATTTATCTTCGTCAACCTTTCCACTGGGTGTTAAAAAAACTTAATCACCGGGTATGTATGCCCATTGGATTGTAATTATTTACTAAAATAAATTATAAATAAATTATTTGCTAAAATAAAACAAGTCGCTAGTTTAACCAAACACAATACCAAGGTTAGCGAAACCACCAAAATTTTAAATTTTTTATTCATCCCTATTTATAGCCATGTCAAATTAAGTGTCACCTTGTTTGAGTAACTGTACGCGTCGGCGAGATTCTTGTTTTCCTAAATCCCTCAAACTAAGTACATGATGTGGTTCTCTATACAAAAGGATGGCAATTATTTAGACTTTCAGAAACATATAAAGACAGAGGGTATATCTTGGGACAAATCGAAAACCAAAAACCAGATTTATAGTTCCGTGACCAATGCAATACATATACTTCCATTTTCTGTGGTTTCTGTCGTCAAAGATCTCAATCGTGATTGATTATAACACAATAAACATTCCAGACATATTTTAGGTGTTCACGGTTTTCTGAGTTTGACTGTAATAATTATTATAGTTTCATTACCTGCAAACAAACCAATCTGAGTTCAAAACAGAAACAAGAAATTAGAGGGGCAAGTATTGTATGTGTGGTAACACAATCCAACTTATGATTGATTGATTGATTAATTTGTTTAAGCAGCTGATCGGCTGAGAACATTGCAATTTCAAACAATAATATGTTGCATGTTTCTTTTTAACCAATTATTAGCAAGCGCACCAAATACCAATTAAACCAAAGTGCACTTAATCACATTCATGGCTGGTGTTTGAAGTGATATGTGAAAACAGTCTGGTTGTTCTTGTGAGATACTTAGTGCAATAATTTTCAGGGTCTTGTGGTTGACTCAGAATGTTTGCCTTTCTGTTTGTGACTCTATTTCATTGATCACAATTCACGGACAGCAACTTCCAATAAACAACAAATCAGAAATTAAATTAATTTAATAATATATATAACTACTTCCCCTTTGTATTGATGTGTTGTCATTAAAGATGCTGGCATTTTCCCTACTTTCTGTAGGTGCATCTACAGTGTATGTTACTAAGCTAGGAGTGTGTTACTGATAAACTTTGCTTTAACTAACAGGTTGTTTTTTGTTCTTTCTGATGCAGCCTTGCTGTTCATATAGTCCTTCTCCAAAGTTTCCACTGTCAATCACAGTCCCGACTGAGTCAAGCAGTGTCAGGAATTCAACATTGTTGAGTAAGTAGATACCTTACTGCTGTGGGAATGTCAGCTAACCCCAAGTGAAATATGTGGCCTGAGTTTGAATCCTAAATACAGCATTATATGAGTTGATTTTGTAGTTGGTTGTTACACTAGCTCCTGGGGTTAATAATTTTCTCTGGGTTCTCCTTTTGTCAGCAATTTTTTCCCTGATCTACAGAAGTGAACATGTCTAAATCCCACTGCGATCTGGAGACAGTTAATGAAAATGAACAGCCATGTTGTGAACATACTGTAATTATGTTTATTTAAGGCAGTGCCTACTAAATACAAAGGTTTTTGTGCCAGGATAGGACCACATGGAAAAAGTAGATCTTTACTAGGGCTATTGGAATCCACAAAGAAAAATTGGGGTAGCCATGCATTTTTTCGAGATCATTAGCCTTGAATCTCAAC